TCTGAGTTGTCCAGTTCTAAAACATGGTGCTAGAGTCCAAATGTTTAATTATACAGCTGTCTAGTTATACTGAATCTATATCCATAATCAGATAATATAGTAATAAAAAATGCATACGTACCATAAAAGCGAAAAGATCGAGATACAGTTCCAAGATAATAGAAATATAAAAAGATACACTCGATTTTCTTACAGTATGGAATTAATATATTAGCCAAAAGTATTGTGTAAATATTTATCTACGTCTGTAATGTTTAAGCACCCAAATATGAATACATAAATATAATTCGATTCATATCCATAATACGGCATGGGAAAAATTATAATAACACTTATGCTCTTCCCGCCATGGAATCATCCTGAATCTTGACAACAAATATTTGAAATCTCTCTGAAACAAATATTTGAAATCTCTCTGAACCATAAACAGATAATGCGTTTACTGAAATATTATATTTTTCAATTCGCCAAATTACACATATAGGTAAGACTTTCAGCGATATGTTCTTTCAAGCTTTAAGAATTTCCGTCTCAGAGATTTTTGGTCTACATCGCGAAAAAATATTGGTATGAAAAAATATATTGAGATGGTAGATAGCATGGCATCAATGCTTTATATATCTATAGATATCTATCACCAAATACAGCATGATGGTATTTCTTATTTTATTGGATCTGTGCCTTCGTAAATCTTGGAGCTTATAGTGCTTACCTATGGCTTAATTACAAAGAGCAGCAATTCTCGTTGTTTAAGACATATGGATGAGTTCAAGCTAGAAAAGATTCTGTATTATATGTTTGGTGAGAACACACACTTTATGGGGAATTGGAAATTATGTTCTTCTTTATTTAAATATCCATTTTTAGACTTTTTTTTCTCTATAGGAGCAATAATATGCAATTTCAGTTTAATTACAAAATCGTAATTATTTATTTATTTATATTTGGCGGTTAGGTTCTACAACCTAACCGCCAAACAATTTGTGCGAAAATGTTTATTTGAGGATATTATGCCCTTTTAATTTAAAAATTAAGAAAAAAAGGAGATTTTTGCCTAAAAATTTTGTATGGCTAAAGCAGAACTTTCTAGATTATAAAAGATTTTATAATCCTTTTCTTTTAATGATTGATAAAAAAAACTGATTGCATATATATAT